ACTGCCGCTTCTTTCTGTGTGGCAATTATCTCTTCAAGCGTTGGTGACCTTTCGGTAGCAGGTCGTGGTTCGAAAAAGGGTTCCTTTTGAGAGTCACGTTCTGTTACTTCCTCTTTGGCTTTATCTGGTAGCCTTTCATTTTGGGTAGCAGGTCGTGGTTCGAAAAGGTTCGAATTACGCTCTCGTTCCAAGTTCTCAGTTGCTGGTGACCTTTTGTCTTCCTTTCCCAGTGCCTCTGGTACTGGGATAACTTTTTCGACATTTCCATTTTCTTTTTTCGATTCCAGTGCCTCTGGTACTGGGATAATTTCTTCCTGCTGCACTTTTGTCATTCCCGGTGCCTCTGGTACTGGGATGACCTTTTCTCTTCCCTTCTGTGTCAGCAAAGTCCGATTTAATGTCTTTTCGATCTCCTGCTGGATTACTTGCAACTGCTCAAATGGTGACAATTCTTTTCGCGTCATCTTTTTCTTTTCGTTTCCCGGTGCCTCTGGTACTGGGATTAGCGCTTTATTAACAGTTTGAGCCTTTTCCTGTTTTGCAAGTTCGGTGACCTTTCCGACTTGTACTTTGGCAACTGGTTTTGGGTCATCTTCTTTTTCTTCTTCACCTTCATTATCCATCAGTACAAATTTCTTTTCCAAGAAGTCGAATCCCAGTAACACTTGTACGTCGTCACACTTCGGTCGGACGTAGAAGGAATGTTCGCTTGTCTTCTTTCGTAAGGTCACTGGTGCTACACAGTAATGCGTCACCAGGAATCCTGACGTTCCGCTAATTCCGTTAATCTTCACCAGTCTATCTGGTGGCAGTGGGAGCATATGAAGTCCATTCTTCTCACAAAGCGGTTTGCTGATCAGCGACGTCTCAGCGCCGGTGTCCAACATTGCGTTGACCTTTATGTCTCCCACTTTCACTTCGTGAGTGTATGCTTCAATTCTTTTAGGCAATTTTCCGTTTTGAATCTTCAATGTGTGAATCTTACATTTCACAGGGATGAGCGATACTGGTCCCGGATCCATATCGGAAAGCACTTGTCCTTTTGCTGGAGTGCTATGACCTTTCAGTATCTCGCTCAGCTTATCAATCCTATGTGGAACGTTAGTCCGAACATCGTAATATTTTCGAGTCTCTTTCTTGTCTGTTTGCTTCTCAGGAATCTTTTTACTGCTGGTGACCTTTTCGGCATTTTGCACTTGCTCGTTTGCTTTTGTGCCAGCTGTGTGACCTTTTGTCACTTCGTTTATCGTCTGATGAATCAGTTCCTCTTTACGGTTTTCATTTCGCTTATCTCGCAGCTTCTCAATGACTTCACTTGTTATTTGGTCAGCTTGCTTCAGTTCCTCTGCTTCACTATCTTTCATCTCATCTGGTGACCTTTCATATGTGACCATATCATATCCCTTTTCGGTCATCCATTCGATTACCTTTGCGGACACTTCATTGTTCGTTTTCGTCTGATCAATTTGTGAAGACATTCCATCTGTTCGGCCTGGTGACTTATCGTTGGCATCCTTTTGCAGTGCTTGAGATAAGTCCCGTGACCTTTCAACTGCGCTACTCTGTTGCGTTTGCGCCATCTCGTTTGACCTTCCTTTCTGTTTATTTTGCGCTAAGTCCTGTGACCTTTCGTTGCGCTTCATGACAAATCCGCCGTTTGTCAGCTTTTGTATAGGGACTTTTTCTCCATAATTCGGCGGTTTATCCTGTGGCGGAGCATTGCGTGAATAATTCCAGTCAGCGCATGTCTTCTTATATTCCTCTGCGTTGAATGCTGGGACTGGGTTCGGTGACCCTTGCGCTGGTTTCCCGGTAACCAACTCTTCTAGTCGCTTTCTTTCACATTGCGTTCGCAACTGTTGCATATCCCAGTAGTCCCCTTGTGACATTTTCGCTTTCTGCTTTGCCTTCGGCGTTACGGGTATCCACATCCCGTGATTCCCATTCGGTCTGTAGGCCACTTTTTGCCAGATTTCCTTCCGTTGCAGCGTTATTGCATCTACAAGTGAGTCTTCGGAGTTCTGTTGTGCCGTTTCGCTATTCTTTTGCTGCGCTGTTCGCAGTGTCAAGTCTGTTTCTTGACCTTTTAACACGACGCTGTCGCCGTGACCTTTCGCATTCGCACTCGCTCCTTGACCTTTAACTTGGACCTTTCCAACGGAAGGTGACCTTTCATCTTTACTACTAACGGTGATATTCTGCTTAATCCATTCTTGCCTTGCCAGCTTCTCTTCTTCGTCTTCTGAACAATTCCAAAACTTTGGCTTTGGCTCCCCGCAACAATCGCAACTTGGCTCATTCGCCTTATCGTTTTCTGCCAAAAATTTTCGGAATTTCGCATGCTGCTCGTTTTCTTCTTGCGCAGTATCATTCTGCGGTTTCTTCTGATTCAGCAGCGCCTGTTTAATCTTTGCGTTCCGTTGTGCGCGTCGTTGCGCTAACACTTCTTCGCTGCAATACGGTGACCTTTCATTTTGCTGCACTTTTTGCAGTGTCGCGCTACCGTCACGACAATTTCCACTCGCAGTACCATTCTGCGGTGACCTTTGGTCCCGTTGCGCGTTTCCATTCGCAGTAACATTCTGCGGTGACTTTTTATCCACTTGGACGTTCCCACTCGCAGTACCATTCTGCGGTGACCTTTGATTTTGTGACGGTATCCCTATAACCGTTCCGTTTCCTTTTTGCGATGACGGCATCCATATAGCCGTTTCTCTTTGTTGTGGCGGCATCCATCTAGCCGTTTCTTGTGGTTGCGGCATCCATATAGCCGGTCCACTTTGCTTTTTCGCTGACGGCATCCATATAGCCGTTGCAGTGGTCACGTTCACTGCAGTACCATTCTGCAGTGGTGACCTTTCCCTTTTATCCGGTGGTTTAGGGTCGGGTCGATCAGTAGGCTCACCGGTGCCTACTGATCTTGCCCGTTTCCCTGAACCGGCGACCCGCCTTGTTGCGCGCCCTGCACATTTCCTTGCGCTTGCACGTTCACTGGGCCACCTCCGTTTGGCTGGCCACCACCCTGTTGGTAGTTTCCTTGGCCGCCGCCATTGTTCTGGCCTCCTCTGAAGTTTCCGCGGCCAAAGCCTCTGTTTCTTCCTCTGAAGCCGCCGCGGCCGAAGCCACCACGGCCGAAGCCGCCATTCTGGCCACCGCCATTTCCATTTCCATAGTTACCGTTTCCGTTCCCTTGTTGGTTTTGGAAATTTGCCTTATGTTGGTACCATTGGGTGATGAGGTCATATCCGTTTGCGACCGCTGGGCGCCAGCCACCTATAGCTCGGAGGCGTTGCCACTCGTTAAAGGCAAACAGATTCGGGTTCTGTTCTGGTGGTGTATTGGCGAACTTGCACCCCTGTGTCTGATGGTTGCCGTACATACAATACTGGCACATCTGCACATTGTTCGCCACCCATCCGTCAATCATCTGGAACTTAAACTCAGTTCGTGACCCTTGGTTCTGCTGTTGATTCCCTCTGAAGTTTCCTTGACCTTGACCTTGTCCCTGATTCTGGAAGTTCCCCTGACCTCCATTCCAGTTTCCGTTTCCGTATCCATTTCCGCCGAAATTTCCCTGTTGCGGTAACCCCATATTCGGAGGCATATTCTGAGGTGGCGGCTGGGCTACATTCTGGGGAGCCACATTCTGGGCTACTGGCCTCACCTGGGCCGCTGCCTGTATCGCTGCCACCATTGCGTATGTTAACGGTTGCCCGGTCTGACTGTCGATAAAGGTCACTTCCTTTGTGACCTCTTGGACCGGCGCCTCTCTGCGGTACTCGACTGGCTGTTGGACTGGTGCAGCTGCCATCCTCTGTTGCGGTACATTTTCAACTTGGCCTTGGCGGATGGTCACGTATTCCTGATTACGTTGACCTTTAGGCGCCTTATATTTGTCTTCTCCCGCTGACCAGTGACGGAAGAAATCTTTGATTTCGGTTGGAGTCCTGCACTGTTGCGTGCGTAGTGCCTTATAAAGGTCACCATCCACTCTACATCCTTCGATCAGGAACCCGACTGCTTGCTTTTCAGTTATGATCCTCTTCGCCTTGTATTTCATAATCGCTTGATAAAACTGATCAAGCGATTCTTTTCCAAGGTCAAATTTCCTTGCCATAGCTTCTCGTAAGCCAAGAACTTCCTCGTCACGGTCTCCATATTCATCTTTAAACTTGGCCATCCATTCTGTAATGGTGTATTCCGTTTCTTCTTGGAGTGCGATTTCTCTCTCTCCTTCGAACCAGGTCTTCGCCGGTCCTTTGACTGCGCTGGCTATTTCAATCAAAATCTGATCGTCAGTGAGATGATATGTCCGTTGGGTGTCTTTGACCAATTGTGTCCACCCATTCACTGCGTCGCGACTTCCATCAAAGGTCACTAGGTTTGTCTTGCGCCCCATCGATTGGAGTGCGTTCACTAACCTCTGTGTCGCATCACTGTCTTCTGCCGTACTGGAGTCACTATCGTCATCGTCCTTATTTCGCTTCGCTTTTCCGTAGCGGGACTTCCTTGGGCGTTCTTGCCGGCTAGACGGTCTATCCTGTTTCCTTTCATCAATGAAGATTTTCGTTTCAATATGTGGATGAAATTGGGTGGGATCACCACGATTCGAATGGGAATAAGTTTCCGATGGTGGCTCCTTGTCATCGTTGACCTTTTCCCCGTCCTTTTCGTTTTTGACACTTCCTCTGCCAGTACCGGTTCGTAGCGGCATATCAAAGTGGAAGCTTTTGCCCGTGCCCGTTTCGTGCGCCTTGCTGTAACTGGGCGGGGGCGACTCCACTGTTGAAGTCCTGACTCCATATTGCAGAAGCTGTTCATCTTTGTGCTTATTAGACATAACAAGCGCCTTATTCTCATCCTCAAGGCGACGGACTTTCAACTGGACTTCCTCTTTCTCCGTTTTCAAGTTCTGATTCTCCTCCTTGACCTTTAACATATGTTGGTGGAGTTGGAAAGTCTTCTCCTGAATGACCTTTTCAGTGTCATTCTCCACCTTTTTAATGTGTTCCGCCAACTGGGTCACATCCCTTTCCAGCTTCGTGTATTCCTCGACTGCTGCTTTCAGTTGGTTTTTTCGTCTGGGTGACCTCATCTTCTCTTGTCATCACCGTTTGGGTCATATCAATCAGCTCCGTGTTGAGCTTGATAATCTCCTGCGTCTTCTGGTGGACTGATTGTTGCCACTCCTTATCTTTCAGTTCAAGTACCGTGACCTTTTCATCCAGGAGGTGTGCCTCGTGTTCCCACCTCATGCCTTGCTCGGCAATTGTCTTAGCAGTCTTTTTCAACTCGGTATTCTCTTCGGTGACCTTTTGAACATCTTCTTTCAACGACTTGTTCTCTTCCATCACCTGCTTAATTTCGTTCTTCAACCGCACACCTTCAGTGGCTTTAAGCTCCCTCAGGTCCTTAGCCACTTTGACAGCGTCGTCGGCTCTCCTCTGATGATCCTGTGATTCTTTTTGAAGGGTTCCGATGTTCTCGTCCCGTAACTTCAATTCGTTTCTCAGCTTAAACACCTCATTGGTGTTTGTCAACAATCGTTGAGTAGCGTCAACGAGTTTGGCCGCGTATTCATCTCGCTTGGCTTCCGCTTCGGTGACCTTAAGTTTCAGTGAGGCACATTCATCCTTCAATTCGGCTAAGTGCCGTGACCTTTCCGCTGATTCTTCTGACATGCTCTCATTAAGGTCACTAACTGCAAGATGACCTTCCATTTCTCTGTCATCTGCCATTTTCAAATATTCATCAGCCAATTCCTTCTGTCTTTCATATTTCACCTTCCAACCGTCTGCGGCACTTTGAAGGTCACCCTGTTGCTGCTCCAGATCGAACAGGCGTGCTTCAAGTGTCGTCAGTCTTTCCCGGTATTCCTGTTTTCGCTTATCCGCTTGACGTTCATTGACTTCAAGTTCATTTTCCAATTCACTGACACGTCTCCTCAAAGTTGACGTGGGACTGTTCGGTGACGGTGGTCGTACACTGATGACCTTTCCAGTTTTTGTCCGTTCAATGAGGTGCTCCGGTATGTCCTTGAATGGTGTCATACCTTCAGCACGGTCAGCTTCCTTCATGGCAGTTTGAAAAGACATATTCATCGTTGCTTCATCATCCGTGAAGTAGGACTCGTTCGATTCGTCTGAGACCATTGGAGTTGCCCAAAGGTCATCACCTGCGGTCTTATCGTCCAATGAAAGGTCATCCAGTCCCAGTTCAGCCAAATTCTCTTCGGTGACCTTTATGTTTCCATCTTCCACTTGGGCCAGGTTTACATTTTTATCCTGCTCGTTTGTTCCGCTGGTGGTAGCATCCAGCTGTGATGCTGCCACTGCTTCCGCTCTTCTTTCTGTGGATTTTTCCTCCCCAGTGACCTTTGTCTGGTTCATCGGTTCACTTCCCGCCGTAGACGCGGGAGTGTGCTTCTGGTCGTCGCTTGAACTTTCCTGATTGGCGACCGCCTCGAGCGCCTTCTGATAAGTGCTATCAGAGCCTCGTGAATCCTTCTTCTCGAATGCCTTGGGCGCTCGAGTGTTCCGCTCATGTCCAACTGGACGTGAGTACGGGTACAGATCCTTTTTGTACGGATTTGGTGCGCTTTGCTGTGAGCTGCGGGAGCTTTTGCTTCCCTGACTGCTGTTAGATGTCGGTTCCTCTTGTTCTTTGTCCATGTTGATCGGATAACTTGGACGCTCCTGCCAATTGTTCTCACACACACGTTATTGTATGGTTTATTCAAGTATCCTAAAGGTCACTTTGTACTTTGAAATTTTTCAAAGTCTTTGTTAAAGGTCACTGTTCGGTTGAAAAATTTTGACTAAGTCCCGTTTAAAGGTCACTTTTTTGGTAAAAAGTTCGAGAGATTTGCCCCAAAAGGTCACTTTCGGACAAAACTTCGAAACCGCTTTTACAGCTCAGAATACGTTAGCGAATGAAATCCTACAGCTACTGATATCGCTGTACTATTAATCAACTCAATTCCAACTTCGTTAAAGGTCACCGTTGATCACTTTCAGATCATAAAGGTCACTAAAATTAGGCCAATTTGATTAATTCCAACTTTTTGGTAAAGGTCACTTTTCAAAGTCAAAAGTCAACTTCTGGTCTCAAAGGTCACTTTCCGACTCAACTCAACTCAAAGGGTCACTTTCCAGTTCAAATTCTGTTAAAAGGTCACTTTCCCGCTCAATTCCAGTTAAAGGTCACTTTTAAGCTCAATTCGATCAAAGGTCACTTTTCCTTTGTCTCAACTCAAAAGGTCACTTTTCGTCTCAATTATCTTATCTCAAATCAAATTTTCCATTACAGCTAGAGTTCAGCGGAAAATCCCCATTCGGGTTGTTTACTTCTTTCTGATTGGTCCGCTAGCTCAAATTATTCAGTTCAAATTTCGGCCAATCACAGCTCAGATAACTGACCAATCACGTTAGTCCACTTAAATTTTAGATCTGCCTGACGTCACGGTCAACGGCCAGACATGCGCGCCGCGTGCAAAACTCCGCCTACTTCTACGCTCAGCTCAGTACGGACCAATGAAAATTGAGAATTTTACCATCTAACCAATCCCGTAATTAATAACGGGTTTTCTACCTGTTTCCTCGTCCTTTCCACGAGAATCGTTCCAGATGATCCAGATTCTTCTTCCACTGTCCGTTCCCGCGCTGCCGCCGGTTTTACCGTAACGGTTGTGCCGCACGCTTTTGGTGGGTTACTGTGCCGGCTGACTGCCGTAGCAACAGTAGTGGCGCTCTACTCCAGTTTGGAGGAGTCTAATCTGTCTTTTCCCGTGCGCCCCTTTTGGCGCTTCGCCGCTTGTGGCCCACGGCTTAGGCTTCGCTGAAGCCCTGCCGAGTAACGGTGACACCAGTGCAGGTCTTCGCTGAAGACTCCGCACCGAGGAACACCGTCGACTGAACTCTTGAACTCTTTCACAGCAGTGGAACAGCACAGGTCTTCGCTGAAGACACTGTACCGAAACCAAGGCTGGTAATCCCGTCCGATGAGGAACTTGCACCGCTTGTGGTGTGCGCTTTGCTGTCAGATAGACCTGTGCCTTACTGGTCGGGTTTCCACATCAAATAACAGGCCAACTTTGCCTGACACAATTCAGATCAGAGAACCGCTGTCGGCTCTGCTACCATCTAATGGTAGATCCAGAATAGATCCACAGACGGAGACAGAAACGGAATCTATCCCGTGGAAGCGAGCAATACGATCTGGATTGCGAACTATTGCGAAATCACAAAACGTCGCACCGTAAACTGCTGACTTTTAATATTGAAAGTCTGGAGAACAGAAAATCAACAATTGATCGGCGCAGCTCGATCGTAAAACGTAGAGCCAATTCAACAGCGTGCAACGCTGTGCAGCACGTGCTATGCCGCGCCCACTAACACAACTCAAGCCAATCAGAAGAGACACAACACAGACATGTAATCCTAAGGCGTAGCGCCACAGGCGTAGCGCCACTGACGTGAACGCTAGTGATCCCGGTCTCACACCGGTATTCCCTGAAAGATAGTCTGTACAATGGAAAACACCACCATCTTCAAAATTACATTATCGGTACAAATCTGTTAAAATTATTGACATTTTAAAATTAAAATGAACACTCAAAGCAGTAGCCGTACGAACTCGTACAGATAACTAAGTATCGTATTTATAAGAGAAGCACATAATTATAGAAATTGTCCATGCACTATTGTCCCGTCCCTCGGCCTTAAACATCCATTATCCCGTCCCCCTAAGCTTTATCCCACCCCCTTGCCGTTCCTTAAAGAAAGGAAAGACCCTTTTTTTAGTTAAAACTAAATAACTAATCATATTCTTGCCTGCATTTGTCCTTTTCTCCTATATTTTCTCCGTTCTTTCTATGTTCTTCCCATTCTCTCTGTATTTCTTCTTGTTTTCCTCTCCCGTTCACTGACAAGTGGCACTCAGCATAATACAAAGGACATTCCGAAAATAATTTTCCCTATTTTGTATCTCCCGGCATTAATGCATTCGGCTAATATTATCCATATTGTTATAAACATCTTTCATAAGCAAACTGTAAAAAGAAATAATTTTGTTTAATTACAATCAACGGGGGAAGAAATGCCAAAAAAGATACCAAAGGGTTTCAAAGTTTTTCACGTGATTTTCCCGGACAGTTTTTGCTGTTTCTCGCAATCTTTCTGCTCACTTTCCTTGATACGTAAAATATATTTAGATTAGGAATTCTTTCCTCTTACAAAATAAACATTTGAGCAAAATGTCCTATTCAAACCGCTTTTCCAGAAAAATAGCAACTGCTTGGGACCAGGTGTCCAAATCGCAAAGCGCTGCAGCATCCAGACAGTAAAAAACACCAAATTTCATGAAAAAAATTTGCTGTTGTCGGTGCAATGCAAACTTTCTTGGTATCTGAGGTGCGCACGACTGGCCATAAAATGTGCTTTTTATCGATGGGAAGCATCACGAATCCATGAAAGCGAAACGGCTGAAAAAAAGGAATTTTGGTGTCTTGTGAAAGAAAAATTTTTACTTCCACCCCTGAGCTTTTCAAAATGCCCTGCCATCACAGTAATATCAAGTACTAAATTTGCAGCTGTTGTTTGAAATTTTTCGTTGGAAACATTGCCATATCGGAAATGGCATCAAAAAGAATCATTTTTAAAAAAGGTGCTGAAAAAAGTGGAAAAGTAGCATTCACCATTCTGTTTTTCGTTTGGCATGTTCTTCTTCGATTCTTTTGATTCTTATTTTTTTAGGTAGTTCACATAATGGGTTATCCAGGAAAAATTATATCACTTGCGTATAACTTAGAATCGCAGGGATACATGATAGGGAAAATTATTTTTGGAATGTCCTTTGTAATATTCTTATAGAATGTTTGCGTGCTTGGTGCCTGTTCACAAGATTTTAATAAATATTGTTTAGTTTATTATATTCACCTCTATCGCCCACTGACGGACGTTCCTTCACTGAAGATTTAACGGTCTTCTTCAAGCAATTCATTCATGCCTCAAAACACCAAAAATTCCCTCGGATGATACGCCATTATGCGACCGCAGTCGACCACATCCGCAATCAAGCCATGGCATTCAGCTTTATTCAGTTTTCTGTATGTAATCAGATAGGCGCAATGTGCGTCATTAAACACCCACTCCGCATCGGTCCACTGCATCCCTACTCATAATCGTCTCTGGAGACTGCTTTCTTGCACCAACCAGTCCGTCACTTCTGGTCGCCGGTTACACGGTTGTGCCCTTGAACGCGCAATAATCAAACGATCAGCGTTCAACGTGCTGTTTGCGAAGAAAACGCGCGCGCGCATTTAAGCCGAGCACATTTGGGGGTTGGAAACGCGTGCCTGCGAGCCTCCCGATAACGCCGCTCAAAGCCGCTGCCCACGTCACGGGCGCGAACTTCGAATTGTGAATTGGCCAAACACTCAAAATATTCTCGCATGCAGCGCGCACACAATTACGCCCTTACGCAGATCATACCCTTACGAGTATAAAGGACGACAAAGTGAAAATGATACGTGGAGACGACACCGCAGTAAAGAACCGAAATTCACTAACACGACTTTCGGTGAACATTACGACCGACGACCGTTGCGCGCATCACAAATGTACAACCCAACAGTTAGAGCTGGGCGCAGGGCAGGGATCCTGTCCTGAACCTGCAGGATCCTGTCCCTGCAGGACAGTTTCAGGGTAAAATGCTGACCTGAAATTTGGCTCAGGTTCAGGTTCTGGGCAATTAAACTCCCTGAAAGTTCAGGGACAGGGCGAACTTAGTCCTGCAGGAATCCTGAATTTTGTAAAGAAAATTAATGTTATCGGAATTTCACAAAGTTGCAAAAGGAAAACATGGCGCGGCATTGGCGCCCGTAAGTTTACAACTGCGGGTGATGGCCCCAAGAAGTGAATCACGCGCTAAAAAGTGCAGAAAAACTCGCTACCTCATTACGCTACACTAAGAAATGCGTGCTTAGCTCGTTTCGCTACTGGCTGCTTATCGTCTTCCAAATGTGAAGATGTGGAAAAAATTATACAACTATAATTTAAGCTAAACACGCTCAGGATTTCAGGTCAGGCTCAGGGTGAATAGTTTCAGGCTCAGGACAGGTTCAGGTAAATCAGCACGGTGAGTTTCAGGGACAGGACAGGTTCAGGGAGGAAAAAATTAAAAAAGTACAGGTTCAGGGCAATCTAGCCGTCCTGTTCCCAGCCCTGTGTCAGAGATGTAATCCCGCAGGTACTGTAGTTGGGTCCCAACTACAGTACCTGCGGGATTACATCTCTGACAAAGCGAGTCGCATCCTGTTCCCAACATCTCCATCAGGTGCGATGAATCTCATTTCACGTGCAAACATGGAAACCTCAACACAGACAGCAAG